AGGCACTGCTCTGCCTACCCGGCCTATGCCCAAACAAGGTAGACCCATTCAGATCAGGAGGAACTGGGCCCCTCTGGTTTTCCCACGGGAATTACTCCCGGGCCCCAACAACCTGTGGGCGCCTTGGTTTCTGTTCCAGCCAGTACTAGTCTTCAGAGCCCCCATTATACCAGCAGGGGTACTATACAGCCAGCCATCCTTGCCAAAAGGCAAGAATGATGGCAGAGCACCCCTACTGGACACTGATAAGAACAGATTTTTTTTTTTTAAGTCCGCAAACGTGCAACTATAAACGTAAAAACCCGTAAGTGTTCACAAAAAATGTGCAAGTGCAAAACACCACACAAAAAAGTGCACTTAGGGGTGTGCTGTGTCCTACCCCTAAAGGGGCTTGGACCGCTTACCCTGATCCCCCGGGGCACGGAGCTCCTGACGGGGACAAGGTTCCCAATTGGTCCTCCTGGCCAAAAGGCCTGGTGGACCACCGTTCCTTGTGTCCAGCCGAAGCCAGACACACAGTACTTGGTCAGGGGGCTCTCCCGAAGAAAAGCCCCCTAGGGATCAGGGGAGGAAGGAACCAAAAGGCCACACATCCTCCCCCTAGACTTCAGGGTAGGCCCGAGGACCCACACCCTCCATCCGTGAAAACACACACATAAGCTAAAGAAAAAGTGACAAACGTGGGAAGTGAAATAAATTAAATAAATAGAAAATAAAAAAGTGGTACCGTGCCAAATTGTGCACAGACCAGGCCCTGAGGCCCGTAGCAAAAATTGCCCTGGTCCTAGCCAAAAGGCCTGGTCCTTAGGGCGCTGTGCAAAAAGAATGTAAAAACAGTGACCATGTGCCATGTTCACACAGTGGGGTCCCACACCCAGGTGTGTTACTAGTGGCACCCCTGAGAGCGTCTACTCAGGGAACACCGAGTTTGCGGACTTTCTGCCTCCTCAGCCCCTGGCCAGACCAAGGTAGATCCGTCCAAATCAGGAGGTACTGGGTCTTTCCAGTGTTCCCGGAGGAATTACTCCCAGGGCCCCAGAACGAATCATGGCGCTCCCCGGTTTCTGTCCCTCCGGTACTAGCTTTCCGGACCCTCATCATACCAGTGAGGGTACTATACAACAGCCATCCCCGCAAAGCTAGAATGGGCGGGAGCACCCCCACTGGACACTGATAAGAACAGATACTACACTTGATCTTTGCCAAAATGCAGAGAAGTGAAGAGAGTTTATGGAGATGATGATGAGGGGTAGGAGATGATGAGAGGTTATGGAGATGAGGGGGTAGGAGATGAGGAGAGCTTTTGGAGATGAGGGGGTAGGAGATGACGAGAGGTTATGGAGATGAGGGGGTAGGAGATGATGAGAGGTTATGGAGATGAGGGGGTAGGAGATGAGAGGTTATGGAGATGAGGGGGTAGGAGATGAGGAGAGGTTATGGAGATGAGGAGGGGGTAGAGATGATGAGAGGTTATGGAGATGAGGGGGGGTAGGAGATGAGGAGAGGTTATGGAGATGAGGAGGGGGTAGAGATGATGAGAGGTTATGGAGATGATGAGAGGTTATGGAGATGAGGAGGGGGGGTAGAGATGATGAGAGGCTATGGAGATGAGGGGGGTAGGAGATGATGAGAGGTTATGGAGATGATGAGAGGTTATGGAGATGAGGAGGGGGTAGAGATGATGAGAGGTTATGGAGATGAGGGGGGGGTAGAGATGATGAGAGGTTATGGAGATGAGGGGGTAGGAGATGAAGAGAGAGGTTATTGAGATGAGGAGATGAAGAGTGATGATGAAGTTGAGCTGTTGTCATGTCAGAGAGGAAGGTAGGAGAACACCATGAGGTTGATTTACTAAAAGCAAATAGAGTTGAAGCTCTGCTTACTTCCATCATCCAATCATATGCCAGTGAAAATGCTGTTTATATATATATTTGTCCTTTGCAAATTTCATCACATTCACTAAGCTCTGTGGAATATTCCCTTGCAAAGTGAACACCCTATTTGCCTTTAGCAAATCAGCCTCTGTATTTCTGGCACATGGACAGCTATTTTTCTGTACTATCAGCATGTTTAAAAGGACAAAACATGGGGAAATGTGCGTGTGCTCCAGTAATGGTTTTTTTTTTGCGTTTTGCCTGGACATACATTTATATAGAATGTATAGAGATGTATATACATAGTTAGTCTGGCTTAAAAAGACAAAAGTCCATCCATATACAGTTGCAAGAAAAAGTATGTGAACCCCTTGGGATTACGTGGAGTTTTGCATGAATTGGGCATAAAATGTGCTCTGAACATCATCTAAGTCACAACAATAAAAGAACACAGTCTGCTGAACATAATACTACACAAAAATTAGATGTTGCCATGGTTTAATTGCACATAACATGTAAACATTCACAGTGCAGGGAGGAAAAAGTATTTGACGCCCTAGCTTAATGACTTCTCCCAGAGCTAATTGGAGCCAGGAGTGAGCCAACCTTGACTCCAATCAGTGTGATGATATTGGATGTGTTGCTGACAGCTGTCCTGCCCTTAAAAAACACACACCTGTTTTGGGTTTACTGGTTTCAAGAAGCACTGTCTGATGTGAACCATGCCTTGCAGAAAAGAGCTCTCAGAAGACCTACGATCAAGAATTGTTGACTTGCATGAAGCTGGAAAGGGTTACAAAAGTATCTTCAAAAGCCTTGATGTTCATGTGTCCACGGTAAGACAGACTGTCTACAAATGGAGAAAGTTTAGCACTGTTGCTACTCTCCCTAGGCTTGGTCGTCCTGTAAAAATGACTGCAAGAGCACAGCGCAGAATGCTGCATGAGGTAAAGAAGAATCCCAGAGTGTCAGCTAAAGACCTACAGAAATCTCTGGCACATGCTAACATTTTTGTTGACACATCTACAATAAGGAAAACATTAAACAAGAATGGAGTACATGGGAAGACACCACGGAGGAAGCCATTGCTGTCCAAAAAGAAGATTGCAGCACGTTTGAAGTTTGCAAAAGAGCACCTGGATGTTCCACAGCACTACTGGCAGAATATACTGTGGACAGATGAAACCAAGATTGAGTTGTTTGGGAAGAACACACAACACTATGTGTGGAGAAAAAAAGGCACAGCACAACAACATCAAAACCTCATCCCCACTGTGAAACATGGCGGAGGGAGCATCATGGTTTGGGGCTGCTTTGCTGCCTCAGGGTCTGGACGGATTGTTGTCATTGATGGGAAAATGAATTCCAGAGTTGTTCAAGACATTTTGCAGGAAAACGTACGACCATCTGTCCGCCAACTGAAGCTCCGCAGAGGATAGGTGATGCAACAGGACAATGACCCAAAGCATACAAGTAATTCAACAAAACAATGGCTGCAACAGCACAGAATACGCCTTCTGGAGTAGCCCAGTCAGAGTCCTGACCTCAACCCGATTGAAATGCTGTGGCATGGCAAAGAGAGCGATTCACACCAGACATCCCAAGAATATTGCTACACTGAAACAGTTTTGTGAAGAGGAGTGGTCCAAAATGACTCCAGATCGTTGTGCAGGTCTGATCTGCAACTACAGGAAACGTTTGGTTGAGGTTATTGCTGCCAAAGGAGGGTCAACCAGTTATTAAGTCCAAAAGTTCACATACTTTTTCCTCCCTGCACTGTGAATGTTTACATGTTATGTGCAATTAAACCATGGCAACATCTAATGTTTGTGTAGTATTATGTTCAGCAGACTGTGTTCTTCTATTGTTGTGACTTAGATGACGTTCAGAGCACATTTTGTGCCCAAATCATGCAAAACTCCACGTAATCCCAAGGGGTTCACATACTTTTTCTTGCAACTGTAATTCTAGCAGAAACCTAGTGTGCCCCTCCCATGTACAATGACACACCTATACAGGGGGTGTGGTCAGTGTTCCAGGTCATTGTGAAGGATGTTTTGTGTGGCTGGGTGGATGGCCGGCTATCTAGAAGGTAGTATAGATCTTCCTCTCAGTCTTTGGAGGGGGGAAGGTGGCAGTCGTTTGATGTGGTGAAATAACAACCTGCTCAAACACTTCACTATCTAGTGAAAGCATGAACACTGGGCCGTTTGATCGATCAGATTAGATGAGGTCACACAAGGGCTATCTTGTGACTTTTTTTTTTACATTGGATTGGAGATTCCTAAAATAGATGAATATGCAGGAAGCTGTGAAATGACTCCTCTGGCTGAGAATGTCAGTGATGGTGCAGTGCCGCTGTCACTCATGGAGACCCGGGCGCTTCTCTTCTCCTCTCCTCTGTCCTGTGGCGCTCTCATTATGTCACATTTTAAGATCCTGGCTCAGAGCGATCCCACATTTTAGCCAGTTGTAGGCCCCGTGGTCAGATTTCAGGGATTAAAGACTGTCTGCTATCTGTGCTCCTCCTTCATCTCAGACAATAATAATTGTACAGAGAGATACGTCCTGTTGTCTCATGATTAATCAGCATTTGAAGTTCTCGCCTGTCCTCACATCTCTCTATAGAGAATCCCCTATCTCTGTGGAATCGCTGGCAAAGATTAACTCTTCAAAGGAAAATGTTACATTATAAACCTCTTTGTATGCCCTGGACACTGCTAGACGTCATGCAGCAGTTTTTGCTTTTACCGATTTTATCTGCAGCTCCCCTTACAATTGCCCGTAGACTTGTGCCTGGTCATGCAAATAGAGAGCTTTCCCCATTCAGCCTGCAGGCTGTACTTAAAAACAATCCAACAAATTCCTCCATCTGTTCTGTACAGTGCGGATAGACGAGTTTCCTGCTTCTAACACGTCCTCTGGTCTGGCCATTACACTTTATAGAGCAGCGCACTTGTCCATGTACAACAGTCCCAGAGGATGCTGAAAGATGGAATTGCCACCCAGCCCTGCAGAGTGAGTGCCTCTATTATTCTGTGCTAGTATGAAAGGATGTTACACCCATATTTGCCAGCCATTTGCCATTTACTGCCAGCGGGGGATCACTTTCATAGTTCAATAACCACTTCCAGTCCGGACACTTTCCCCCCCTTCCAGTCCGGACACTTTGCTCCCCTTCCAGTCCGGACACTTCCCCCCCCCCCTTCCAGTCTGGACACTTTCCCCCCCTTCCAGTCCGAACACTTCCCCCCCTTCCAGTCCGGACACTTTCCTCCCCTTCCAGTCCGGACACTTCCCCCCCCCCCCCCTTCCAGTCTGGACACTTTCACCCCCTTCCAGTCCGGACACTCCCCCCCCCCCCCCCCCCCTTCCAGTCTGGACACTTTCCCCCCCTTCCAGTCCGGACGCTTTCACCCCCTTCCAGTCCGGACACTTTCCCCTCCTTCCAGTCTGGACACTTTCCCCCCCTTCCAGTCTGGACGCTTTCACCCCCTTCCAGTCCGGACACTTTCACCTTCCAGTCCGGACACTTCCAGTCCGGACACTTTCACCCCCTTCCAGTCTGGACACTTCCCCCCCCTTCCAGTCCGGACCCTTTCCTCCCCTTCCAGTCTGGACACACTTCCCCCCCCCCCTTCCAGTCCGGACACTTCCCCCCCCCCTTCCAGTCTGGACACTTTCACCCCCTTCCAGTCCGGACGCTTTCACCCCCTTCCAGTCCGGACGCTTTCACCCCCTTCCAGTCCGGACGCTTTCACCCCCTTCCAGTCTGGACGCTTTCACCCCCTTCCAGTCCGGACACTTTCCTCCCCTTCCAGTCCGGACACTTCCCCCCCCCTTCCAGTCCGGACGCTTTCCCCCCCTTCCAGTCCGGACGCTTTCCCCCCCTTCCAGTCCGGACGCTTTCACCCCCTTCCAGTCCGAACGCTTTCACCCCCTTCCAGTCCGGACACTTTCACCCCCTTCCAGTCCAGGCCAATTTTCAGCTTTCAGAGCTATCACACTTGCGCAGTCATGCAACACTCCCATATGAATTTGCATTTTTAGCATTTTTTGAGACAGATAAAGCTTTATTTTGGTGATATTTATTCACCGCTGGGATTTTTATTTTTTTTTTGCTATATAAATGAAAAAGTCCAAACATTTTGAAAAAGTGTTTTTCTTATAAAATTTTGCAAATAAATAATATTTCATCATAAATCTTGGCCAAAATGTATTCAGTTATCTTTTTAGTAAAAAAAATAATAACCCAAATTAGTTTATAACCAAAAATTATGTTTAAAATGTTTTTTTTACATTTTTATTTTATATTTTATATTATTATTTGTTTTTAGTTTTTTTTTTTTCTACATACTGTCATGCTAGCAGGTGACACTGTACTACTTGTGGGGGGTGATGAAGTTTTTTTTTTTACACTGATTGCTTTTACACCTATAAAGGCTGTAAAAGCAATCATTTCTCCTTCTCTCTGGCTGCACTCTTGCAGCCATTGAGAAATACTGTGTGAGCTGTGATTGGTCACAGCTTGTCACATGGTACAAGGCTGTTGTGAATAGCCTTGTACCATGTGAGCTCTGTGATCATTCACAGATTTCACACGTAGTAAGCAATGATGTCAGAAGTGACATCTTGCTTACTACCCTGCTTGTGATCACTGATTGGCCAATCAATGATCACATGATTGGGACCTCGCAAAGAGGTCCCGTACGACGATCGGTGTTCCACTGTGTTCGGAGGACACAGCGGGCACTGAATCGCGGTGCCGTGTGCTCCCAGGGAGCGCGCACAATCCAAAATGGCGGGTGCCGTTTATGAATGGCAACCCGCCCCTTAACTGCCACTGTCCGGCCGTTTATATACAGCGGCTGGACGGCAATTGGTTAAGGCCTCACGCCTTATAGTAACGTCAGTAGCATTAGCTGTAGAAAGCTGCGTTAAAAACGTGAGTTTTTCATGTTTTTTAGTGTTTTGCATTCGCGGTTTTCATTATTTTTTACGAAAACTACACTCCCACAAAAGCTTAAGGCTCAAAAACACTCATAAACACCGGAAAAGCTGAAAAAACTTCTCTTCAAATGCAGTAGTTCTGGGGGGGTTTTTTTCCAGCCTGAAAACCCCCCTGCCAAAAAACAAAAGCCTATGTGTGTATGAACACCTAGGATACCGTGCTGGGGAGTTTGCTGGCTGCAGAAAAAAAAAACCGCTTGATGCCCAATACAGCAGCTGTAAAAACACCCAGTGTGCACGAGGCCAAATTCTTCCTGCCATTCAGTACCTGCCTGTCTGTACGGAAGATACGGGCACACAGCTTACTGACAGTATGCAGGATCCAGGCATTGCACCCTGTGACCTGCTGTTTGCAGCTGCAATGCTTTGCAGGACGCAATGTAGAAAAATATTAAAAAAATATTATTTTTGCACACAAAAAGATATGCTTTTATTTTATTTATTTTTCAAAAGGTCAACTTAGTCTTTAATGAATATGGTGAGAGGGGCGGGGGCAGCATTTTCAATAAAAGTATTTTAGTTTTTAATGAAAGGGGATTGCAGCAGTAAGAGTAAGACTACGCCTGGTTTAGTGGCACGAGCAATACTTTATGAATTCCACCAACTTGGCTGCTGGCGTATGTACCACAGGCAGTTCCTTAGCTGCAATCTCGTCCTTCAATGTGTCAGAAAGACCATGGGAAAACGCAGCCACCAGAGCCTCATTGTTCCAACCGACCTCTACCGCCAGGGTACGAAACTCTATAGCAGTGATGGCGAACCTTTTTGAGCCCGAGTGCCCAAACTGCAACCCAAAACCAACTTATTTCTTTCAAAGTGCCAACACTGCAATAAAACCTGAATATCGAGCTTTTGGTTTAGAAAAAACAACTCGTACAGTAGTGCAAACTAATTAACAGTACAGGGATGACCAGAGACTGCGGACACAGTACAGGGATGACCAGAGACTGCGGACACAGTACAGGGATGACCAGAGACTGCGGACACAGTACAGGGATGACCAGAGACTGCGGACAGTACAGGGATGACCAGAGACTGCGGACAGTACAGGGATGACCAGAGACTGCGGACAGTACAGGGATGACCAGAGACTGCGGACAGTACAGGGATGACCAGAGACTGCGGACAGTACAGGGATGACCAGAGACTGCGGACACAGTACAGGGATGACCAGAGACTGCGGACACAGTACAGGGATGACCAGAGACTGCGGACACAGTACAGGGATGACCAGAGACTGCGGACACAGTACAGGGATGACCAGAGACTGCGGACACAGTACAGGAGATGACCAGAGACTGCGGACACAGTACAGGAGATGACCAGAGACTGCGGACACAGTACAGGGATGACCAGAGACTGCGGACACAGTACAGGGATGACCAGAGACTGCGGACACAGCACAGGGATGACCAGAGACTGCGGACACAGCACAGGGATGACCAGAGACTGCGGACACAGCACAGGGATGACCAGAGACTGGGGACACAGCACAGGGATGACCAGAGACTGGGGACACAGCACAGGGATGACCAGAGACTGGGGACACAGCACAGGGATGACCAGAGACTGGGGACACAGCACAGGGATGACCAGAGACTGGGGACACAGCACAGGGATGACCAGAGACTGGGGACACAGCACAGGGATGACCAGAGACTGGGGACACAGCACAGGGATGACCAGAGACTGGGGACACAGCACAGGGATGACCAGAGACTGGGGACACAGCACAGGGATGACTGCTGACCTTTGGGGAGGGAGGGGGAGCGGGTACCTGAATTTGACAGGTACCCGCTCTTACTTCCGCAGAGTTTTTTTTTTTTTATCTTACCTGTTCCTCGATCCAGCCGCACGCTGTCTTCCCGGCTTCTGTAGTGTGGGCGCTCGTCGGACAGCCGGATGCCCAGTGCGCATGCGCGAGAAGCGCTGCGCTTTGTGATTGGTCCGGCGGCTTCTGGGATCTGTCATGTGTCCCAGGTACCGCCTTACCATTCACAAGGAGCACTGCTTCTTGTGCATGCGCACTTGGGACCCGGCTGTCACGCACACTACAGCCGGGAAGACAGCGCGCCGCTGGATTCTCCTGGCGTGCCCACAGATAAGGCTCGGCGTGCCGGCTGTGGCACGCGTGCCACGGGTTCGCCACCACTGCTCTATAGCGTACTCGGCCACGGTCCGTGAACCCTGATGCATGGTCATGAGCAGTTTGGCCGCCGAGGCGGAACGAGCCGGTACGTCGAATACCCTACGGAAGGCATCGACAAAACCGGAAAAATCTTGAATCACCGGGTCGTTCCTCTCCCATAAGGGATTTGCCCAGGCCAAGGCCTTGTCTGAGAGTAGGGAAATTAGGAACCCCACCTTTGACCTCTCAGACGGAAAGGCGTGGGGTATTAATTCAAAATAAATACCCACCTGGTTGAGGAACCCACGACACTGACTAGGCTCACCCCCAAAGCGCTGTGGAAGAGGGGCTGAACCAGTCATACCTCTGGGCGCCGCTGATGCAGCCGTCGAGGTGGTGGACGCAATAGGCGGAGAAGCTGCGGGAGAGACCACCGGAGTGACTACCGGCCTAATAGCACCAGGATCAAGGTGTGCAGTGCGTGCAAGCAGAGTTTGCAACGCCTGAGCGAATTGATCCAACAGGTGATCCTGTTGATCGAGTCTGGCAACTAGCATTGGGAGCGAAGGCGTGCCTGCACCGTCAGGGTTCATGGCACTTGTGTAATGTCAGGGCAGGGGCCGAGGAACGGACAGGCAGGCCTAACAATGTAACGCACTGGCTGACGACAACCACTACCCACAGACCGAAGTCCCTCAGGGCGCGGAGTCTAAGTCCCAGGCTGCCCTTCACCAGGGCCCCTGATGGTGGGGATGGACTTGATGCAGCCAGAAACCAGGTCGCGGCCCCCGAGACACCTCAGCTGCGGTAATGGCCGCCGCCAATGGCGTGTAGCTGGTGGAAGAGACAAAAGAGTAGTCAGACAAGCCGGGTCAACAACAACAGGACAAAACAGTACAGGACAGCAGACGAGAATCACAGGTCACGAGCCGGGTTCAGCAACAGAGGGTCAGATCAAGGGAGAATACAAAGAATAGTCAAGTCACAAGCCGAATCGGATACCAGGAGAGTCACGAGAGTCAGAACAGAGTAATAGCGACACAAGACACAAGTGCAAAGAGCATGTGCGGGCCACAGGCTTATATGTCATCAGCCACACCCCTCTGGGGGATGGACCACAGAGACCTGAAGGCATAAAAGGATTCCCATCATGCACAGCAGAATCCAAGATGGACGCCAGCACATGGAGTAACATAACCTCAGGGAAAAGGTAGGACCTTGACAACGATGAAGAATGGGGAATGGTTGGGTCATGTGATGGAACAGCAGGTGCAATCAGCTCTGCTACCTTCCAATAGGTGGCTCCATCCATTCTCGGCTTTCTACCCAAGATGCCTATTCTCACTCAGGCGTTTATGGGAATATTTTACAGACC